CCAAGTCCATCCTTAGCATAAACATTTCTTTGCTTGCCAAGCATAAGACTTGAATTCTCTCTCCCTTTTGTGAACTTAGCTAAAGTCTCAATTTGATCTTCAATTATGACTTTCAATGACTTATTTTCGGAAACCAAATCAATAGACGCTAATTCTTTAGCTAATTCACATTCTTTTACCTTTTTCAATGCTTCATTTTCAAGAAGAGATTTTCAAGCTTTTGAGAGATAATGTAGTTTTTTCTTTTAAGACTAGCACACTTTTGAACCATCTTGCCTAATTCATCATGCAATTCTTTAAAAGCATCAAGTAAGTAATTGTGAGCATCAACTAATTCATTATAAGTAGTTTCTAAATCAAATGAGTCGTGGTTAGAGTTTACCTCATCTTCATCGGCTATGAGGCAAAGATTGACCAATTCATTGAGTTCATTATCACTTCCGGATCCATTTGAATCATCATCCTCCCATGTAGCACGCATGGCTTAGGCTTTCTTTTTCCGTTCCTTTTCATTTTTGTATGCATAGCAATCCGATTTGAAGTGCTCTGGTTTTCCACAATGAAAACAAGTAGGTGCTTCTCTTTTTCCATGCTCACTTGTGGAACCACTTCTTTTGAGATTGTTGCTCTTTTGGTATTTCTTCATTTGAAGAACTCTTCTCACGGTTTTGGTGATGAGCGCAATTTCTTCCTCTTCTTCATTATTGAGAGCTTTCTCAACTTTAACCTCCTTGGTAGTGGCTTGAACAGCTAGATCTTTCTTGTGAGTTTCTTTGTTGTTATCTTCATCATTCATTTCTAGCTCATATGCCATCAAAGAACCAATGAGCTCATCAATAGGGAGTGTGTTGAGATTTTCCGCTTCTTGAATGGTGGTCTTCTTAGTTTCCCAATTCTTAGGCAAGGATCTAAGAATTTTTCTCACATTTTCGGATGATGTATATGACTTTCCAAGAGCCTTCAAGGGATTGAAAATGTTAGTAAACCGAGAATACATTTCACTAATTGTTTCTTTGTTGTTCATGGTAAATAATTCATATTTATGGACAAGCATGTTCATTTTAGATTCCTTAACATGACTTGTGCCAACATATGTAATTTCAAGTTTATCCCAAATCTCTTTGGCCGTTTCACAATCCGAAACTCTATTGAATTCGTCTTTGCTTAGAGCACAATAGAGATTTGTGATAGCCATGACATTACATTGAACAAGCTTACGCTCATTTTGAGTCCACTCATCATCGGTTTTTGGCTAAGTTACCCGGACTCGGGTACGGGTGTCGGACACGGGTGCGTGTCTAGGAGTCGGATTCGTCAATCTATCAATTTTCAGGACACGGGGACTTGGATTAAAAGTGTCTAAATATTGGACACGGGTACTTGGACACTTTAAAAAGAGAAAAATTTGTAAGTTATGTTTGAGACATTAATCCTAAAACTAAAAATATATATATCAATTGTACCCTTTTATAAGAATTTTATAATTATTACTGCATTTGTTTGCCTCATTTGATAGGTGGCATGTCATGGCTATGCATTCCCCTGTTACTGCTGTTTTTATGGAACCTGTAAATAAGAAATTCTGAGCTGCAGGGCTCTTTTTGTTTAACCAAGGGCGAGTTTGGGCTTGGGCTAATATGCCTCAGTTTCCTGGCATTTGGGCCTGTACAAGTCAAAGCACAATAAAAAAGGATGACTAATTCAATATGGGCTTATATGTCTCTGTATGTGCATCTCAGTCATGGATTGATGCTTGGGTTTTGGGCCTGTACAAGTCAAAAGCCCAATTAAAAAGGAAGCCGATTCATATAGCAGTACCATAAAAGCAAAGTTATAGATGTAACCATAAAAGGAAGCCGAGTCAAAAGTCCACAGTAGGTCCTTTTTTCCACGTGAGATGCAAGACTTTTTACAGCTGTGTCCCAATGTCTCTTATCTTTCCAGATCCAAATAAACAGGTGTTGTGATCCTGACCGTTAAAAGGTTAGATATTAAGTTTGTGAAACCACGCACAAGATGGCACAAAAATTGCACAAAAGCAGCCCGTGTGGGTTCATAAACAACAAGTCGTCTTCAACCTTCAGACCACCGATCCGAACCAGAACGGCCATTGTTGAAACAGAAAGCTTCATATGCCTGCAGATTTAACAAAAAAACACGAATAAAATTCCTAATCCTTCACAAGCATCAAAGTACACATCATTTTATGTATTTTCGTCATCAGCCGTGTCCGATTGAAAAATGGAGGGTCGGACACATATCCCGTGTCCGTGCCCGTGTCGTGTCGTGTCGACACGGACACTCTGGCCTTTTCTGACGAGTCCAGGTAACACAGGTTTTTGGAACTCTTTGGCCATCAACAACTTTGGTTGGAATGTGATCACCTTGTTCGGTGGCTTTCCAAGCATCGATGTCTAAACTTCTTAGAAATGCTCTCATTTTGATTTTCCAATAATTGTAATAATTTCCATCAAACCAAGGAGGTCTATTGTTAGATTGACCTTCTTGATGAAAATTGGCCATGATCGTTCTCTAAGATGATTAGATCTTTAACTAGAGATTAGACTCTAATACTAATTGTTGAACAATAATTGACTCTAGAGGGGGGGTGAATAGAGTCAATGGCCAATTAATAAAATTTACAATTTCACTAGAGATAAACAATTATGCAATAGTCAATTAAAATAGATAATAATTCAAAGCATAAATATAAGAGAGATAGGGATACGAATTTGCAAACAATGACACGGAAATATTTAGCGAGGTTCGGAAGTTCCTACTTCTCGGCTCAAGATCCCTTTTGAGACTTCTCAATCCACTAGAGCTTCTCTTTAATGGTGGAGAGCAAACCTTCACATGAAGCAAGCCTTTGCTTCCCTTTCTTGCTAGGACAACACCTTTCTCCTAGGCTTCTTTTGGGTCACACCAACCCTTACAAGTTTGTAGAAAAGATTGTAGTTGAAGTACAAGATTGAATCTCTCTCAAGATGGATTTACAATTTTTAATCTCTCTCCTAGGCTTCTTTTGCTGAATAAATGTTGCTTGCGGAGGGGTAGGTGGATCATTTGCATTGGAGGTAGGAATTGTTAGGTAATGCCTAAACTGCTTTTCTGATTTACTTTTTGGTTGGAACCTTGGTTTGGGAGGTAGCATTTAAAAGGCCTAGGATAGAAGGATATTCCAGAGTAGGGAACTTCTAAAGTTTAAATTAGGAACCTCTCTTTTGGAGCCCTCTTAAGAGTATCCACTCCTTAGTTGAGCTCTTGGATGCCCAGTGTAATTTATCTCCTTTTTTTTTTTTTTTTTTTTTTTTTTTTTTCTGTTCTTTATTTCCCTGTTTTCTCGCTTTCTTCCTTGGCTTTTCTTCAGGGGTGGACCCAGGAAGTTCCGTTTGGGGGGGCCAAAATTAATAGTATGAATATAAATTTTTAAAAAATTAAAAGTTATAATTTTTTTTTCTTCGCAATAGATTTCATAAGTCTTAAATCTAAAAAGCGAGATAAGATTGTTTATAAATTAAAAGCAGTTCAATTCATCAAGTGCATTTAAAAATACATCTAAGCAATTTTACATAGACGTACAAAAAATGGACAAAAAAAAATTAACCCTATCATATATCCGATATATCCAATAAAGTATAATCTACTGCCTTGAAAGTTGAATGCTGGGTAGTAGACTAGTAGTGCCAAAACTAATTAACCAGTTGTGGTCTCAAGCATCAGCTGTAGCCTAAGAAGCATGGACACGGATACGGGACACGGATACGACACGACACGGACACGGCGAATAGTATATATATATCAGCATTAATAATTTAAAAAAAAAAACACTGATATGTTTAGGTTGGAATATATATATATATATATATATATATATATATATATATATATCACTGATATGTTAGTATATATATATATATCAGCATCTTTAGGACACGGACACGGCGAATTGTGGCATCTTTAGGTTAGTATATATATATATCAGCATCTTTAGGGTAGTACAAAACAAAAAATAGAATATATCAGCATTAAAAAAATTAAAAAAAAAAAAAAATTAACATATCAGCATTAAAAATTAAAAAAAAAAAAAAAAAATTCCAGAAAAGTGTGTCCGAGCCGTGTCCGAGTCGTGTCCGAGCTGTTTGAGCCGTGTCCGAGCTGTTTGAGCCGTGTCCGAGCCGTGTCCGAAAATTAAAAAAAATAAAAAAATTCCAGACACGTTTTTTGGCGTGTCCGACACGTGTCGGGGCGTGTCCGTGTCCGACACGTGTCGGACACGGATTCTTCGCCCATTTTGGAGTGTCCGTACTTCCTAGGTTGTAGCCTATAACACGACTTGAGGGTGAAGAAGAATATAATCTATCCATTTGGTCTTATGGAGTTTCTTATTTCTAGTGAAGCCCTTGATGACCCTAAGTATGTTAAAGAAAATAGAGTGAGTGACCCTAAGTATGTTAAGGAAAACAAGAAAAAAATTATTTATGCTAGAGAGAGCAGAGTGGGTGAGTGACCCTAAGTATGTTAAAGAAAACAAGAAAAAAATTATATATGTTATTTCTCCATTTTAGTACAAACTATAGGTAGTAATTACTCACCTAATCCGAAATGTTCCATTTTTTGTTCCCACTGTTGTGCTTTGACAGTTGAAGAGAACTAGAGAAGAAATAAATACAAAAATCTGACCTACGCTTGGTCCTCACTACGTCCGCCCCTGCTTTAATCTAATAATTGGATAAATTCTTTCTTCTCATGGGCCAGATATTCTCATATTATTTGCTGAAATAATTTTGATTATTTGGATAACAGATATATCTAGTACTGGGTGTTCGTTAACCATTTACTCTCACCATTTGCTACATTAATGGAGTTATTTCTCACTCTCTCTGTTTTTTTTTTTGTTTTTTCGCTTTTTTGTTCAGTTCTTTTTTCTAGTTATTGTTGATTGTATGTTGGAATTTGAGATATGGTTTGAAATCTGTGTGTTTCCTCTCTTACTGCAGTGCATACCGAGCATTGTATATTTTGAACTGGATTTATCGGTACTTCACTGAGCCTCATTTTGTGCATTGGATAAGTACGTCTCTCTCTCTCTCTCTCTGTGCACGAGCTTTATGTGTCTATGCACTTTCATGTTTTGTATCATGCATCTAAATGGTACACCTCATGGTCCTGCCATTGCAGTTTGGATATCAGGGCTTGTTCAGACGTTGCTTTATGCTGATTTCTTTTACTATTACTTCCAAAGGTATGCTTTGATGTTCGGAAACTAAATGAATACGTTTGTTGGTATTTGCATAAAACATGACTCACTCCGTTGAAATGGTTGCAGCTGGAAGAATAACGTAAAGCTCCAGTTACCAGCATGAGCTTGCATTTGACAAGCTATTGGCAGGGCAAGAATCTCAGAAGAGCATACACACGACAATGCATTTGTTTGATAGTGCTTGGCATTTTGGCTCTTGTTCTCTCCCCTTTTCGGGTGCTGTTGTAGGCACGTTAAGCAAGTCTTCACTTTTTCTATTTTTTTGTTTTTTGTTATTTAATTTTTAGTAATTGGGGCTTCACAACCCAAATACCAGTTCATATGTAGTGTTAAAAGAGCATTCATTACGATTTATGACTGACTCATGCAAGATGTTCCATATACCACGTAGTCTACAGGGATTTTAGTGCATATTCTTTATGTGTGAGTTCAGTATTGGAAGTTCATTTGTTTGTATGGACAATTCTTCATGTTAATGTATTGGCAAGGAAGAAAATTGATAATGCAGTCTTGGAGATATGCATAATGTGATGTTTCTTACTTGCAGGGACATGACAATTGGGATTGAAACTGGTTGAATTTTACTGTCATCTCATTAAATTGCATGGACTTGGCAGAGCTTCTACATTGCATAACATATGCACACTCGCGTTCATGTGCAACCTCAACAATATGTGTGTCAGTGTGTGTAGACCTCGACAATACGTGTGTGTGTGTGTGTAGACGCTCGTGTCCATGTACAAAACGATGGGAAAATGAACTCCAATAGACATTGCAGTGAAGCTGGTTATGAAAATAAGACTCTCCCTGCTGCAGAATACTAATTTAGTAGTCAGTAAAGGTAGCACCATACAGATGCTCCTGAACCCTCATAGTGGAATATTGGAATATGAGGGGCAAGCTTCAAAATTTCATCATCAGCCTCAAAACCTACGCAATGCTTAACATCGAAAAACCGAAGTTCTTTGCAGCCGTGCATAATCATCACTAGAATCTCCCGTTCAAGGAATGCACCCCTCAGATGCAAATACGTAGTGTCTGGCAGTAATGTGATGATGGCTGATGCTTCCTCCACTTCGCAAATTGCAGGCTCGTGTAATATTTAACCCAGCAAAGTTCTTGCAATGAAGGCTGACCTGAGTAAGGATTTCCGGCAAATTAGAGCTGTATTCTAGTTTTAAAAATTTCAGACATTTGATCATGACAGGGAGACAGCGTCAAAAATTTCAAGCAAGGATACCTTGGAACAAAAGTTTAGTTTCAAATAAATTCCAAGTTTTTCTATGTAAGAATGAAATTCTTTTTTAAGTTAGGTCATAAAATAGATTTCGAAAAGATAAGTAGTGCTTGTCTTTGATTGAAAGAATGTCAAAAATTGAAAGAATGTCAAAGATTAGATCTGTCTCAAAGTTAATTTCCTCACACTCTTTATTAATCTCGACAATTGAGTAGAATCACATGTAAGGTCTCATTCAATGTATTTTCCACAATAGCACCCTCTCAACTACATTAAACAAGCAATCCAAGTTTAATTCTTCACATTTTCGCTCTCCCATTTACATTAATAAAAAACAAAGACTATCAACTTTGAACAATATATATGTATGATGATAAAGAAGAAAGTTCTGTCCACCGGCCAAATGGTGTAAAAAGGCTAAAATGATACAATGATGAAATATTATATCATAGAAACTAAACAGATATCCAAATGAAGTGGTATTTGCAGAGTGAATAATGATTCCCATATAAGCTAATGGGAAGAGGTATTTGCAGAGTGTATAATGATTCCCATATAAGCTAATGGGAAGAAAACAAATACACACAGAAAGAAGTTAAGTGAACAAGCAACTCAAACTTGTAAATTATTATAAAATTGGGGCAATAGGAAGTTATGTCTGAATTTTTCATTATCGTTTTTCTAATCGAGTGTAGTGTACTACATGAATATTGTTAGCAGTCTTTAGTTTCCTCCAATGTTTCAAAACCCTCAACAATATTTTACAATAAATGATTCCTTCAAATTAACATTAAGAAATCTTATCATTTATCAACTAAATGGATGGTGAATTAAATATATAACGGTTTGCATATGAAAAAAAGTGTGAAAATTAACATCAGCCTAAAAGCATGACTATTAACCTCACAAATTTTTAAGCAAATAACAACACACCGTAAAAAATTACTCATCACTTCACTTCGGTGGATAAACTACTCATGAGTCACTTATCTTACATGATAAATAGGATATCAATTTTACTATTATCATCTAAGGTTAGGTTCATACTTCGTACACACCTGACTTGTAATTTGTAATTCTAAATGAGACTCGTATCTATATATAAGCATCTCTTAATTAAAATTTAGTTTTTACGACTAGTCAGCTATAGAATCGTTTTTAGTCTATGAATTTTTAGGATTCTTATTATTATTTTTTAATCCAGCAATTTCTAGAAGTTCAATGTTCTAGAATACAGCAACACCTCAGACTCTTACCAATTTCTACAAACACTTGTTGTTTCTATTCTTTTTATTATTAAAATTAAAATATAAAGGCATAAGAACAAAAAAATAGTACCAATTTTTTAATGGCGAACTTCTAAACAAAAAAAAGTACCATTTACCAACATATCTGTATTCGTATTTTTTCATCATGTCCAATTTGGAATTTAATTATGATCACTTTGACAATCTTTGTTTGTTGCGACATTCACAGTAAGGAACGACCTGAACATTTTGTTCAGGGACACAATTTAATAAATAAAAAATTGATGGGTGGGGCAATTTTAAAAATTAAAAAATTTATATTACAAAAATGCAAAAAAATGAAAAATTGAGGCCATGTGGGTCTAATTATTATTAATTTTTTGTCATTTGAGGCTTACACATACCCTTCACACCCACTTTTGCTCGTCTGGAGATTCGAACTTTCACCGTCGCTTTGAGACATAAATAGGATATTACTAAACCCTTGGTTCCTATGAGCCTTAATTGGCCTTCATTTTATATGTAAGGTATCAGGCTCAACAGTGCAGAATTTGTGGCACTGTTTTTCATTTTTATCATTGACTAGAACAAAAGAGGATCTCTAAACCTAAGGTATTTTTTATTCATGTGCTGAAAAAAAAAAAAAAAAAAAAAAAAAAAAAAAAAAATTTTGAACAAGGATCTCTAACCCATGAAAAATCAAGTATCTAAGTTTTTACATCAGGAAGAAAAGAAGCCAGTTGAAAAGTTCACCTGAAATGTTTACTCAAACAGTGGTTACACACGTAAAAGAAGCGGATAATTACAGAAACATAAGAGTTTTTGAAGGTTAATTTACAAAGTTATTAAGTCAAAGTCATCATTTTTCATAATTTTATATGGATTTTGAACATGGAAAAACACTATTATTTGTGCAAACTATCCTTATGTTATGTTTGGTAGTACCGAATTGGCGTCTTTGGATATAAAATTAGAGAAAATTTAGTTCAAACTTTGTACAAAAATTCTTCCAATCCTAAATCCAATATGCCGATTCGATGCTAACAAACATAACATTAGTATTTTCATGTACCACTTTTATTTATGCAAATACGAACAGCCTTTTGCAATTTGCACTATTGGTTAGAGGTAAATTGCTTGCTTTCAAAACCAAGTCTGCGAGTGGTGATATCACCATTGTCATATAATGGATTATCTTGAAAAATGGAAGATATGCACCAAGTAAGATGATATAAAAATATACAACATTCAACAACCACCGCAGCTTTTTCCCAATTATTTGTGGTCGGCCACATAAATCCTATACTTCCTTTCCACTTTTTCTAAAGTTATGGCCTCAGTGGAACAAGATGATATGAAAGAAAAAGAAAAAAACAAATAAAAGACCTGTTACCAAATCATATTACAAAACCAGGAGGTTAAGATCAAGCTAAAACAGAGGGTATGTTTACTATATACTTTGTATTAGATAAAATTCAATAACACAAATATTTCATCATCACCATTTCGAATGGTAGATATCACTACATAGCAATTCTCACTTCGTAATACCAGCTAACCTTAATTTAGTAAAGGTACCACCATAGAGATGCTCTTGAACCCTCATGGTGGAATATTTGAATATGAGAGGCAAGCTTAAAAGAAACTTGCATCACAGTTCCAAACATGCACTGTGAAGTTGATCACTTTTGGTGAAGGCAAGTCTATTATTAAGTATATTTAGGAACACACGTATTTTTAATAAATTTAGTTCAAAGTTTGAACTAGATTTTCTACCACTCCAAATCCAAGGAGCTGAGTATTTCAAATGCAATATATATAGGTTATGTGTGTTAGAGAAGTTTTAAAAATCGTAACCGTTGGTCGGTTACAAGATTTAATGGGACTTTAAAGGGCCATTAATTTTGTTTTTAAAAATCAGCACCTCGAATTAAATTTGGTTTTAAATACAACATAAGTTATATCCTTTTAGAGAAGTTTTTAAAACTTATTTGATCCAATTTTAAAAATTGTAACAGTTGGTCGGTTACAAAATCTAATGGGACTTTTAAGGCCCATCAATTTTGATTTTTAAATTTAAAAAATTTGTCATGTTTTCTAATATATTAATTAATTAATTTATTTTTTACAGTTACGAGTTTAATGGGAAAGTAATTGAAGGGGGCGCGGTGTTTCAAATACAACTTAAGTTATTTATTTTAGTGAAGTTTTTAAAACTTCTTAGTCGGTTACAAAAATTAATGGGACTTTTAAGGCTCATAAATATTTAATTATTTATTTATTTATTTTTGAGTGTTACAAGTCGTTAATGAGAAAGTAATTGTATGGTTAGGTTAGCCCAATAAGAGACACACAACACAATCTTGCTTTCTACCTTGGAATAGTTTTAACGTAAATTGAAACATCCTCGTAATAACAAAAAGTTTCCTGTTTTATAAAATTTAAAAAAGAAGAAGAAGAAGAAGAAGACACTTTCTATTAATAAAATAAAATTTTTAAAAATCTGCTTAAAACCATTTTAATAATAAAAAAATACTATAAAACAGTTTTTTTTTTTTTTTTTTTTTTTTTTTTTTTTTTTTTTTTTTTTCTGACAACTGTATAAAACAGTTAATTAAATCTGTTTTGACAGTCCAGTTTCCCGATTCTATATCTATATATTCTGTAAAAAATGTCAGGTTTTTTTTTCCTAGTTAAAAAATTCAGCTTTTGAAAAACAGATTTTAATTTAGCTTTATCAAGGGTGGACCACTGTGTCTATCAAGGGGGGGCCGTGTCACACCCCCATTTTTTTAAAAACCTCAATGTTCATGTATGTGAAAAATTAATTTTTATGTATTTTAACAATTTCACACATCGTCAAGATTATGTTTTGTTGATAAATAGAACACATGAAAAATACATCCCCTTTATCATTATCTCTTAGGCTAGTGCTAAAAGAAATTATGTTTTGTTGACAGCAGTGACTGGACCCTTAGACAGTCGCCTATGCCCCAACTAATAGGAAGGTCTCACTTATTTATTTATTTATTTTTTATTTCTTCATCTTATATCCTTCCAAATTTTTTATTTCATTCCTATTATCACTCCAACCAATATAAATGTCCCAAAATTTGTATTTCCTTCAATTATAACTTTCAAAAAAATTTATTTGTTTATATTATTTCTATCGTAAAAATGTTATTTCCTTCTTATTATTAAACTTTGCCCTATTGAAAGACCCCATTTTTATTTTTTATTTCATTATATTATAATCTCCTAAAAATTTTATTTGTATTGTTAGACCTAATGAATAGAAATTTAATGTGAGCTAAAAGATTTTTATCTTTATCTTATCTCTTTTTTTATCTCCTCTCTTAGCTCCTCATTCACTTTTTTTTTTTTTTTTTTTACCACAATTTGTTAAACTTTACATATTCTTAATTTAACTTTCTTTGTTTTTTTTTTTTTTTTTTTTGGTTTTTTATTTTTTTATTTATTTTTTTGACATATTTTCTCTCATTTTTCATTAAGTATAAGTTGTATAACTCTAAGATCAATTATGTGACAAGAAATATTAATTAGATTGACTATATATATTAGATATTAAAAAGTCAATTTTATATTTTTAGCCTAAGGCCTCAAATTATATTGAGATGTCCCTGTTTGTTGATAAGCAACAGGCATCCAATTCAGTAGTGTGAAGCACCAAGTTAATGGGATGGAGAAGGAGAAATTTTTCTATAGTTGCAGCAGGAAGGTGATGCTTTGATGGGTGTACTCGAGAAAATCTCTTACGAGATCAAGATCGAAGCTTCCCTTGATAGAGGATCCATATGCAAGAACAGTAGTAAATAGCACGCCAAAGGTGATGTCGGGATCACAGAGGATCAAATCAACTGTGGCAAAGAGAAGGGTTGGGAATGTTCAGGGCTGTTGAGGCATACCTCTTGGTAAATCCTCATGCCTACAAAGTGAAGATACTGTAAACAACCATGGACCTATAAGGGGACCGGGGGGAGAATTTTATTTTTTATTTTTAATTTTATACCATGCCCCCCTGAAATTTCAGGAATGCCCCATACTATATAAGTTCCCAAAATGTTATTTTATTTCTTTCACACTTTGGTTCTCTCATCTCTGTCTCGTACGCGAACATATTTGATATATCAGACAATGTAGCTTCAGACCTTCAGACCTTCTGCCTTCGGCAGTTCTTTCCATCACCGACCAACCCTATTTCCATCCGACAATCCATGTCTCTCTCTCACATACACGCTCCCCTGACATAATTTTCTAGATCTGTCACTGACTGTAAAATTGATTTCACAGCTTCCTCTCATTTCTATTATAATAAAATTACCAAATGCATTGCCCATGATTAAAAAGTACATAAAGTATTTAAAAAATAAAATTAAAATTAAGAATTTAGGTGTAATTTTGATAACCAAATTTAGCATTTAATTCTAAAGGGAAGTAAGTGCGTTTGATGACAAACTAAATACCACTTAAAAAGTTAAGTACCACGGAAAATTTAAAAAATAAAATAAGTAAAAACAATCAAGCCAATTCTCATCTACTTGGGATCTGCTATTTAAAGTTCTAAGGCCATAACTTAGTCAAACCACTTAAAATTTTAAAAAAACTATTAAAAAAAAAAATTTCTATTACCGCTTACAACTTAAAACTCTTAAAATGTTCAATACTTATTTTTCAGTTTTATCAAATATCATTAATAGGGAAATCTGTTCGTCTGACCCATTGCATACTAATGTGCGTGCATTTATACATACAAAGACAGGCACAAAAACTAGAATACAACCACTAAAATAAAAACAAACATGGAAAAAATTCAAAACAAAAAATTGGGTCATTCGCCAACTAAAGTGAAGACTCTCTCAATCAAGACGGATTAATTACACACAGTTCATCAATTAATTACACACAGAATCAAGACGGATTAAAAGCAATACAGAAGGCAATTGAGTTTCGAAACCTGTATATGGACGCAGATGAGGACACTCGTGTAATCCTCCAATTTTGATCACTCCTACCAAATTTTAAGCAATTGAATAATTAATATTGCATCATACACATGCACATATAAAGTTTTACCATATTTTTATCCTATAGTTTCTAATTCAAGTCTCTGAGTTTGTGACAACAACTTTTCAATGTACTAAAATACAACGTTATATAATAGATTGTCTGAGAAATGGATGATACACAATGAGCAAGAAGATAAGAAAAACTAAAGAAAATAAAAGATCTGTTACCAAAATATATTACAAAATCAAGCACTTGCGAGCTGAAACATTAATAGGATAAAGTTTAATGTGGTAAAAGTTCCTGCATAATTTTCATCCATATATAGGAGGATATCAATGCAGCTTAATTAATTGCGTTCATTAAAATCGCAATGATTTGATTCCAAATATGCAACACTCTTGATATGGTGTGTAATTGTGTGAGATGCTTTTTTTTTTTTGAAAAATAAGATAATATTAAAAGGAGAGAGGTTACAAAAGTTAGCCCAGGCTAACCAAAATAAACATAACCCAAAAGAACAATAGGCCCAGGAAGGAGCAACCCAACCAGGCAAAAGATGGAAAAGCTGTTGCTAGCACCACATTCATACAGAGATGATAATGGAAGAAATTCCACAATGTTATCAACCCGGTGGCTCTGGAGGAGGCCGTAATATAGAAGACGGTAGCTCCCATTCCACAATTAGTCTCCTAGAATGAATTGAGTCATTGAAAAGTGAGGAGAAAAGCTTCAAGCGTACTGGTTCTAGAGTAATATGAAGGAGGGAATTGGCTGATAATCTCTTCTTCTTGAATAACCTACTGTTGCGCTCATTCCATATATTATAAACCAGCGATGAGAGGGCAAGTTTGGATACAGTGTTACAATCCTGGCTGTTTCCTCTCCAATGGTAAGCAGCCCATGAGACAAGCTCAGTCCAGTTAGAAGGCATGATGTAGAACCCACATCTTGCTTGTATAAAGGTCCACAAAGGTCTGACAAAGGCACACTTGAAAAAAAGGTGGTCATGTGATTCAAGATCATTATTGCAAAGGAGGCAAGTGGTGGTGTTAAGGTAGGCAGTGCATCTCCTGTTGAGGGTTGGGAGCTTGTGTTGTATTGCAACCCAAAGGGTGAAGGCATGCTTTGGTATTAATGTTTTAGACCAAACTAAGTTAGTCCAGGGAAGAGAGGGTAGGTTTTGGTTAAGGTGTTTCATTGTGGCTGCAATTGAAAATTTCCCATTTGGGGATGGTGTCCAAATGAATCTATCTTGTTTTTGTGGAATTGGGGTAGGAAGGCTGGGGAAAGGCAAAAGTTGTGGCAGTAATTCTGTGATTGTGGGTGGGAATGACCAGCTTGAACCAACAAGGAATGAAGATAGTTTAGTCTTAGTATCATAACCCGAGAGATTAAGCTGCTATGAGGAGATAAGCAAATGCAGTGGACCAAGATAACACCATCTGTCAAACCAAAAATTGGACAAACTTCCATCTCCAATTTCAACCTTGACAAAGGGCTTAATTGATGACCTTAGTTGAAGTAGCTTCCTCCAATTCCAAGAACACTGTCCTGGGATCTTCACCTCCCAAATGCTTCTACCTTTGAGAAGGTGAATGTTGACCCAATGAACCCATAACATATCTTTGGAGTTGATGATATGCCATAGGTACTTCATAATAGCAACCCTATTCCATTGAAAGAGGTTAGGAAGACTCAAGCACCTGCCCTTTTTGGAAGGCAGCAGGTTTCCCAAGTGACTTTGAAGCCTGTTTTTTTGAGTGAAGGACCAGACCAAAGGAATGATCTCAGAATGGTATCAAGCTCATAAATGACACTCATGGGGAGGATGAACTTGGAGCTCCAAAACATCTGTGTGGAGAACAACACTACCCTTATGAGCTGCAGCCTGCCTACAAAAGAGAGGAACCTGCAAGTCCAGTGAGCAATCCTTGATGAGATTTTGACAATAAGCCCCCTGCAATCACTTGATTTCAGAATACATATCTCCTAGATGAAGTATGCATTGAATTATATTTGTTATCTTCTAGTTTAACAAGTATACCTAATCACAATTAAGTATCATGACAAACTTGATTCTGACAGATATGCAGATTTCTAGGGGAGCACGTGGTAAATGTTTAGCACGGTGCTTCATTATCTTTTTATCTCTCTGCCTCTAAATCAAAAGTGAAAGGTAATTAATTGACATAACTGTTAAATACGACATAACATAAATGGCAATATAAAAATATTGGAGTCAAGATATCAATGCAGCTTAATTGCGTTCATTAAAATCACAAAAATTTGATTCCAAACATGCAACAGGCTTGATATGGTGTATAATTGTGTGAGATGTTGTTCAGAATACATATATGCAAGATGAAGTATGCATGGAATTACATTTATTATCTTTTATTATTGATATCTTAGGCTAACTCTATAAATACTACTTTAAGTTTGCACATTTTCCTCACTTGCTAATTCTCTTACCTTGCACTTCTCCAATCTTTCAAGACATATATATCTATCATGGGTGTGATCAGTTACCACATGGAGATTGCCTCCTCAATCCCTCCGGCCAGGATGTTCAAGGCGTTTGTTGGTGATGCCGACAACCTAATGTTAGGATTTATATGCCCTGGCATAGCAAATTCCTATCTAGATTGTATTGACATATGTTCCTGACATATCTGAAATATTTATGATTTATATAATTGGTGAATTCAATGTATTATGTTTCAATTCACTATGAAATTGATAGTGTCCAGTTAATTACAAGAAATATTTATATATATGTATGTGATGACAATCAATGCATGATATATAAATAGTAATTATAAATTGTTCATAGTCGGTAATTATGGATGGACTCATAATTAATTAAGACTTGAACTGGATCCGCGTTAGGTTGAGATATATTGCGAGAGCCGTCGTATGCAATTACTCCCTATCACCGTCATGGCATTTGACTCTTAAGCATGAGAAAAGTATAGACTCTTTTATTAATTAATAATTACTTTGATTTGTTCGGCGGATTCTTCGGGATCCTTAGACCGACACTTTGGGTAGTTATGTAATTAATAGTTAGAGGGTTATATTTTCAATATTTGCATCATTGCTACTTGTATTTATTTTGTATTGATTATGGTTGATCACAAAGTAAATTCGAAGGCCTTCGTGTGTTTTTAGACAAAATGATTTATTATATATTTATTTATTTAAATTATTATTTTTGTCAAACAAATGTTTTATTGTGATCGAGCCAGAAATAATCAAAGGTACCAAAATAAATATATTAATTAAGTAGTCGGATTGATGGCTATATTTATCCGATAACTAATTATGCATAGAGGGGTCAAAGTGCAATATTGACTTAGAGGTTATTTATTATTTAATTGGAGTTCAATTAATTTCTTTTAGTGGAGTAGAAATTAATTTATGAATTAATTGAATTGGGTCCATGGACCGGGCCAATTATTAATTCATTGTAGCCAATAAAATAATAGGCCCAATGGATTCTCACTCATAGCCCAACTTGATATTGGAATCATATTATATTTGAGACATATGAATTAGAGATGGAGAAGGATTTGTTGTTTCCTTTTCTTTATTTTTATGTTGCCTATAAATATACATGGTCTATGTATATTTTAGGGGGTGATTTTTATGAGAAGGAATAAGGAATAAATTTTCTCTCTCTAGAAAATTAGGGTTTATGTTCTCATCTAATGGAGGCTCCCACAAGCCTAGTTTTCCAAGGTCATTCAAGGAGGCTTATGAGTGATTCCTAAAGGCAAGACCATTACCAAGAAGATGGAGATCCATGGAAAAGATGTCTAGCAAAAGGGATCTACAATAAGTGAGAACATTCACTTTAGAGGAGAGATCTGAGGTTTACTCAAACCTTGATGTAAGTATTCAATCTTTTAGTTGAATAATACATCATATTTTATTTTTATTTTTGCATAAAACTTGTCTCTATGTGATGAATCAAGATCTATGAATCAAAATCCCTCAAAAAGTTTTTAAAACTTGCACGTTTCCCAACAGTGGTATCAGAGCATGGTTTGATTCATTACTAGAGATCATGATTTTATGAAAATCATCATTCATGGATCCAAAATTATATTCATATATATTTTTATTGATGTATGTTGATGTATGATTTAATATGTTGATATATATTGATACATGATGATGTATGAATAATTGTGAATGAATGATGATGTATGGTTGGGCCATGGATGAAGCTTATAGGAATATTACATGTAATTTTATCTTTGGATTAATGTAATTAAGGTTTTGATTTAGCCGTTTGAAAGTTCAATGATGTAATTTAATTTTTTTTTCATTGTATTTCAAATTGTAAATATTTTTAAAGCCATGTAATCTTCGTCAAAGGATGCTATGAAGCTTCAAGAAGGTCCAAAAGGGTTAAATTATGCTTCAGTAATTTTCTGGAATTTTTTCCGAATTTTTTGGAATTTTTCTGGAATTTTTTGAGGCTTAATTTAATTTTCTGGCATTTTTCCGGATTTTTTGGAATTTTTTCGGCGTTTTTCCGGTGGCCGGAGCTTCGCCGGCGGCGAGAAGGGGCGTCGGAGGTGGCCCTAATCCGGTGTGGCATCAAGATGGTGAGCCTGGCGCGTGTTCCACACGCGCCAGGAGAGTGCACATGCTGGCGCGTGCATTGCACGCGCCAGCCAAGGGAGCTTGACCTCCACGCGCGTGAAGGCGCGTGGAGGCGCGTCCCACGCGCCCCAGGCGCGTGGGAGCGCATGAGTGTGCATTCCATGCGCCCCAGGCGCGTGCCGGCGCGTGGGAGCGCGTGGGAGCACGTGCAACTTGCCCTAGGCGCGTGCCAGCGCATGTGAGGTCCTCCGGGCTCGTTTCAAGCGGCGTTTTGCTTCTCCTGACGCGTACAAGCTTCCTATGGGTGTTTGCAGACAGTTGAAGGATGCCCGTACAGCAAGAATAGTTTTTAAATGTTAAAAGCTGAATCCATTGGCCATTTAATTTGCTTTATCTGTCATTTATTGTTGTATGTGATGCATGAAATAATTAATTGCTAATTATTATTGTTCATGCATTGGATCCATGATATTTATTTAAATGGCTTGATTTATATTAGTTAAATTATGAAAATTAATTGGATTTGATTACTAATTAATTAGAGGGCACTTATTGGGAAACGAAAAATTATTTTTATAAATTATTTTTGAAGTGTGCCTCAAGTTAAATATTAGTGAATCGTTTAAAGTCCAAATATTTTCTAAATTTAATTGGATTAAAATCAAGACGTTTTGCATGCATTATATCATGTAAATGAATAAAATGAAAACCCTGATGATGAATGATTAAAAATTGAGTGGGAGCGGGGTTTTTTATACATTGCCCCATGGCCTTCGTTATTAAAACCATTGTAATTAGATCTTCAAAAATAAGGCCCCACGCATGATTTGAAGAGTCTTAATATTACAAGAATGGTTGTCTCATGAAAATAAAAATATTAAATGTTCATTGTAATTAGATCTTTAAAAATAAGGCCTTACGCATGATTTAAAGAGTCTAGATTATAATGACAACATATTTAATGTTTTATTTTTCATTAGAGCATTAATAATGTTATACACTCAATCTAAAATCAATAGTGTTAGCTCCCCAACGGAGTGGTATACACTAGGTGATTTTAGAAAGGCTAAACATAATCGGGAGTCATTTCATATAGATAGACAAGGCATTGTCTTAAGAGATATGGAGATGATGGGATTTGCCCGCCAATAGCAATAATGAACTTCGTCAACCGAATAAGTTATTGGTATATTGCTTATCCGATTTTTCATGCAGTGGTTAAGGGACCCACATACTATTTTAATGGAAGTGCTCACCTAATAGTAAATGAATCTCAACAATAGTAATAATGAACTCCTCCAACAGGATAAGTTATTGACATATTGATTGGTTGATTTATTATGCTACAGAGTTGAGGGACCCGCATTAATTAAAAGGGATTGTTCACCAATAATGATAATGATCTCTTGTTCGATTGAGATTTATTATATTATGTGGTTAACAAACTCATTTTAATTTTAAATATGCATGACAGAATTAATAATTCACCTTGCATATTGTATGAATGCATTTATATTCAGATTAATTATGTCTAATCCAGTTTATCTACTTGCTTACATATTCTATGATATTGGACCTTATTTATAATGACTGGAAAATGAACTTAGATATTTTATTCACAACGTAAGGGTACAAAATGTGTTTATTACTCCTATACCTATCTCTTTTACTTTGAGATACCAAATTTGACATTAATGCTTTTAATAAATTAGATAAGGCAAATGATATGACTTGGTGCAATATTCTAGAGTTTAGCTCGAATATACTCCAAAGCTAACATTTGTATTATTTTATTTTCTTCAAGCATCATATTAAATGTCAATGAGATATTTTGGTGAGATTAGATAGAGCATATGCCTAAGTACTGTGTCAAATTTAAATACCATCAAGATAGCCTGATAAACTCCAGTTTGAAATCAAATTTTGGAAAATGATTGTTTATTATTTAAAAATTAGCTGGAGATCAATAAGGCTGACTTGGGTGGTAAGTTTCAAGTTGACATGATTATTGCCTTATTACCAAACTCATTCGACTCTGTTAGAGTGAACTAAATAAGGAATCAGTTTGAGTTCACACTCGCTGATATTCTTATAGAATTGGTAACAGAAGAAGGGATAATCAAGAGTATGGGCGTTCCTATCAATCTAACCTAGTCTATACCATCTTCTTCTAGGCCCAAGTGGATGGGCAAAGCAAAGAAGAAGGATGATAATAGGACTAGGCTAGCACAAAACATAGGTATCTAAAAGGTTAAAGGGAATAAGGCAGTGTATGTGGAGGGCGAATGAAACTGTTTCTTTTTGCCGTTAACTAAGACACTAAAGGACAAACTGTCTAAGCAATGACGTGGCATAGGAAAATATATATTTAATCATTGAGCCATGTTATGTGGTTGTATCTATTGATTCCTGATGGATAGATTCTGGAGCCACTAAACATGTTTGCAATTTATTGTAAGGATTTCAGGAATCCAAAAGCCTTGATGATATGGGTATATATTTATCTTTTGACCTGATGCCAAGGTTGTAACTAAGTCAGTGGGAGTATTACATCTGAAATTAGAGAGTATGAGGATATTAGTATTAGAGAACTATCTTTATGCACAGAAGTGAAACGCAATCTCATTCTTATTTCACTTTTGGCTTATAAAAAACTAGATCGTTATTTTGTAAAACTGGTTTTATAAAATTGAATAGATATGTGATTGCTTCTGGTGTATTGAAAGATGGTTAATATACTATAATCACAAGCTCTTAAGATTTGCAGGATGTAGAAACTAATGTTGCATCTTCTAGATTGAATGTTAAGAGAAAATTTGTTATTCCTGACTCATTGTATTTTTGGTGTCTATTTTTAGGTTGTAATCAATCAAAATGAGATTTAAAGATTGGTTAAAGAAGGTTTATTACCTAGTGAGGCAGAGGAGCCTAAACCAAACTTGTGAATCTTGTTTTGAAGGATAGATAATTCTAAGGGCTTAATCAGCCAAATGAAATAGACATAAAGAACAATTGGAGTCGGTACACACGTACACGTGTAGTCTTATGAACATCCAATCAAGATTACTCACGTTTTGGATAAATTTACCTGTTGCGACACAAGTCTTATACTTTTGGTATATTCCGAGAGGGTCAAGACTGATGTAGAGCTCAGATTAGGTAAACTTATCAAGACACTTCGATCTGATCGAGTATTTGAGTATTTCTTGGGATAGTGCAAAGACTATATGGTCAATGAGGGTGTTGTGTACCAGTTTTCCGCAATTGACGCTAAATTAATTTAGGTGTCAAATAGGAATAACAGAATTCCACTTAACATGGTTAGATCTATGATCAGTAATGCCACATTATCTCTTTCATTTAAGAGTTTAGCGTTAATGACATCGATGCGCATTATGAACTGCATTCCATCTTAGTCTGTCTCAAGGATACCGTTGAGCTGTGTTTTTGACTAAATATTAGTTTGAATCATATGCACATATGGGGTAGTCTTGCACACGTGCGTTTGATATGGACAAGTAAGTTGGAATCAGATCATAGGCATGCTAGATTTGATAGCTACTCTAAATGTCACTAGGATGGATTATTTTATGATCTCAAAGATAAAAGTTGATTGTTTTCACTCACTGTTTATCTATAGGAGAATCATATTATGAATCACATACCTAGTAGCATAATGTTAGAGAATTTGGTATGAGTACCAGATGTACCACATGTGAACACACTTATTATAGAGATTGAGAATAATATATGAATTCCCTATTGATGCGTTAGCATCATCTACTACACAGATTCTTGCATCGGTACATTGATGTAGTGGGAGGATTATCATCCAATTCGACAGAATCATGTTTTTAGGTGAGACCATTATGGACATCCCTGTTAAACATGAGTTGGACCCAGTAAGCTACACGGAAGCGTGAACCGATGTGGATACAGATCGTTTTGGTGAGTTACTATGAAATCAGAGTTGGAATCTATGTATTCTAATAAATTCTGGGATCTTGTAGAACTTTCTAGTAGGGTGATTCCTATGGAAGGCAAGTTAATCTACAAAAAGATACCAGAAGATTTCTTAGTGAATAAATCATGAGTGTACAAGGGAATGTCATTATTTTTCTTAATTCTATATATTGATGACATCCTACTCATTTATAATGACGTGGAAGTTTTGTCATCAATTATAAGGTAGTTGTTCAATTACTTTTAAATGAAGGATTTTCAAGATGTAAGCTATATTCCTAGGATCAAGCTTTTGCAAGATCAGGTTAAAAGGAAAATAGGCTTATCTTAATAATCCTACATTGATAAAGTTTTGACCAGGTTTGGTATGCATAACTCAAAGAATGAGTTCTTGCTTTATTGATATGGATCGCTCTCTCTAGTAAGTAGTTTTTCAAGACTAGCAGAGGAGATTGAGCAAATGAGACTGGAACAATATGTTTCGGCATATGAGAGTCTCATATATGCCATGGTCTATACCAAACAGGACATCCGCTACATGGTAGGGATAGTCAGTAGAGATCAGTCCAATACTGGACTTGACAACTGGTCTATTGTGAAAAATATCATTAAGTACCTAAGGAGAATCAATGATATCATACTCATTTATGGATGTGATGATATGGTCCTAGTCAGGTATGCTAGTTCTGATTTTCAATCAGAAGTAGATACTATAAGGTTCATGACTTAGTGTATGTTCACTTAATGGAAGGGAAATCAGTTGGTAGATTGTCAAGCAGATTTCAACTGTTGACTCAAACCTGCAGGTGGAACATATTGCAACCTTAAAGGTGGCAATATAAGCCTATTGGTTTGATCTCACTGATTTAGAGGTTGTGGAGCATACTAGCCTGCCTATCGAGCTATATTGTGACAATAGTGCAGAAGTAGTCCAAACCAATGACCCAAGGTTCCATAGAGGAACAAGATACACTGAGAGGAAGTATCATGTTCGACATGATATTGTCCGGCAAGAAAATGCACTTGTAGTTAAAACATTGCATTGGAACACAACTTTGTTGATCCATTATCAAAGGTGTCATTGATCAATAATTTTGATCATCATCTGGATAACATTGGAGTTAGGTGCAATTTGAATTGGCTATGAGGGCAAGTGGGAGCTGTTAGGATTTATATGCCCTGGCATAGCAAATTCCTATCTAGATTGTATTGACATATGTTCCTGACATATATGAAATATTTATGATTTATATAATTGGTGAATTCAATGTATTATGTTTCAATTCACTATGAAATTGATAGTGTCCAGTTAATTACAAGAAATATTTATATATATGTATGTGATGACAATCAATGCATGATATATAAATAGTAATTATAAATTGTTCATAGTCGGTAATTATGGATGGACTCATAATTAATTAAGACTTGAACTGGATCCGCGTTAGGTTGAGATATATTGCGAGAGCCGTCGTATGCAATTACTCCCTATCACCGTCATGGCATTTGACTCTTAAGCATGAGAAAAGTATAGACTCTTTTATTAATTAATAATTACTTTGATTTGTTCGGCGGATTCTTCGGGATCCTTAGACCGACACTTTGGGTAGTTATGTAATTAATAGTTAGAGGGTTATATTTTCAATATTTGCATCATTGCTACTTGTATTTATTTTGTATTGATTATGGTTGATCACAAAGTAAATTCGAAGGCCTTCGTGTGTTTTTAGACAAAATGATTTATTATATATTTATTTATTTAAATTATTATTTTTGTCAAACAAATGTTTTATTGTGATCGAGTCAGAAATAATCAAAGGTACCAAAATAAATATATTAATTAAGTAGTCGGATTGATGGCTATATTTATCCGATAACTAATTATGCATAGAGGGGTCAAAGTGCAATATTGACTTAGAGGTTATTTATTATTTAATTGGAGTTCAATTAATTTCTTTTAGTGGAGTAGAAATTAATTTATGAATTAATTGAATTGGGTCCATGGACCGGGCCAATTATTAATTCATTGTAGCCAATAAAATAATAGGCCCAATGGATTCTCACTCATAGCCTAACTTGATATTGGAATCATATTAGATTTGAGACATATGAATTAGAGATGGAGAAGGATTTGTTGTTTCCTTTTCTTTATTTTTATGTTGCCTATAAATATACATGGTCTATGTATATTTTAGGGGGTGATTTTTATGAGAAGGAATAAGGAATAAATTTTCTCTCTCTAGAAAATTAGGGTTTATGTTCTCATCTAATGGAGGCTCCCACAAGCCTAGTTTTCCAAGGTCATTCAAGGAGGCTTATGAGTGATTCCTAAAGGCAAGACCATTACCGAGAAGATGGAGATCCATGGAAAAGATGTCTAGCAAAAGGGATCTACAATAAGTGAGAACATTCACTTTAGAGGAGAGATCTGAGGTTTACTCAAACCTTGATGTAAGTATTCAATCTTTTAGTTGAATAATACATCATATTTTATTTTTATTTTTGCATAAAACTTATCTCTATGTGATGAATCAAGATCTATGAATCAAAATCCCTCAAAAAGTTTTTAAAACTTGCACGTTTCCCAACACCTAATCCCCAAGATCTTGCCACAAGCTATTCAGAGTGTTGAGATCATCCAAGGAAATGGACAAGTGGGAACTATGAAGTTGATTGCTTTCGGTGAAGGTAAGTTTCTATTATCAAGGATATTTGGGAACACACATAAGCACTTTTAATGAAATTTAGTTCAAAGTTTGAACTAGATTTTCTACCACTCCGAATCGAAGGAGCTGAGTGTTTCAAATGCAATATGCATAAGTTGTGTGTGTTGGAGAAGTTTTTAAAACTTTTTTGACCTAAGGTTTAAAAATCGTAACCTTAATGTTCATGTATATTTAAATTTAATTTTTATGTATTTTAACAATTTCACACATTATCAAGATTATGTTTTGTTGATACATTGAACACATGTAAAATACATCCCCTTTATCATGATCTCTTAGGCAAGTGCCAAAAGAAATTACTATGTTTTGTTGATATGCAGCAGGCAGCCAATTCAGTAGTGTGAAACACCAAGTTGATGGGATGGACAAGAAGAAATTTTTCTACAGTTGCAGCATAGTGGAAGGTGATGCTTTGATGGGTGTACTCGAGAAAATCTCTTACGAGATCAAGATCGAAGCTTCTCCTGATGGAGGATCCATATGCAAGAATAGTACTAAATACCGCGCCAAAGGTGATGTCGGGATCACAGAGGATCAAATCAACTATGGCAAAGAGAAGGCGTTGGGAATGTTCAGGAAAATCATTTCTATTATAATAAAATTACCACATGCATCGCAACTGATTAAAAAGTACATAAAGTATTTACAAAATAAATGATAAAAATATATATGTAGACAAAATTACAAAAATACTACTTGAAACTTGGTAGATATCATTCCATAGCAATTCTCACTTCACAATACCAACTAATCTTAATTTAGTAGTCAGTAAAGGTACCACCATACAGATGCTTTTGAACCCTCGTAGTGGAATATTGGAATATGAGGGGCAAGCTTCAATACTTCATCATCACCCTCAAAGCCAATGGCGTATCTAGGGTAGGGTTGGGCTGGACTCCAACCCACCTATATATATATATTTTTACTATGGGTAATTTTAACCCAGTCCCAAATAATAATAATAATAATAATAATAATTATTATTATTAGTATTAGTCCACCCGAATAAGCCCAAGTCAGTTAAGCCACTATATATATGTTCCAAAGATGAAAAGACGTACATGATTGTTATATATTTTTTTAATGTTTAAGGAAACATGCATACGTACACCTACATTATCACTCGATTTTGCAACATGGAACACTCATTCAACCTACCCAATCAACAACTAGCAGTTCTCTTTGCTTCACAGCATTCCAACCCCCACATATTCAGGGGTACCTCTGACCATTAACATGACCCCAATCAGGCATGGTGATGCAAAACTTAGTTCACAATTGAACTTGTTCCCTGGGAAGTTGCTTCAACTTCTTAAAGTATGACAATTGAACTTGTTCCTCGAGGCAAGATCGTGGAGATGAGGTTGTCGGCATCACCAAAGGACCATTATGCCTTGAACATCCTGCAGATCAGTGAGATTAAGGAGGTAATCTCCATGTGAGACCTGATCACACCCATGATACAGATATGTTTTAAGAGATTGAAAAGGTGCATGGAAGAAGGAGAATTCGCTTTTGAGGAAAATGTGAGAACTCAAGGTCATACATATATCAGTAATAGAAGATAACAAATGTAAACCCATGCATACTTCATCATAAGATGTGTATCTCAACAGCATCTCACACAACTACACACCGTGTTGCACATTTGTAATCAAATCATTGCCATATTAATAAACACAATTAATCTGCAGTGATATCATGACTCCAATATTTATGTAATGTGGTATTTAACAACTATGCGAATTAGCCTTTGTTGTAGATTGAGAGGTTTCTAGTTTAACAAGTATACCTAATCACAATTAAGTATCATGACAAACTTGATTCAGACAGATATGCAGATTTCTAGGGGAGCACGTGGTAAATGTTTAGCACGGTGCTTCATTATCTTTTTATCTCTCTGCCTCTAAATCAAAAGTGAAAGGTAATTAATTGACATAACTGTTAAATACGACATAACATAAATGGCAATATAAAAATATTGGAGTCAAGATATCAATGCAGCTTAATTGCGTTCATTAAAATCACAAAAATTTGATTCCAAACATGCAACAGGCTTGATATGGTGTATAATTGTGTGAGATGTTGTTCAGAATACATATATGCTAGATGAAGTATGCATGGAATTACATTTGTTATTTTTTATTATTGATATCTTAGGCTAACTCTATAAATACTACTTTAAGTTTGCACATTTTCCTCACATGCTAATTCTCTTACCTTGCACTTCTCCAATCTCTCAAGACATATATATCTATCATGGGTGTGATCAGTTACCACATGGAGATTGCCTCCTCAATCCCGCCGGCCAGGATGTTCAAGGCGTTTGTTGGTGATGCCGACAACCTAATCCCCAAGATCTTGCCACAAGCTATTCAGAATGTTGAGATCATCCGAGGGAATGGACGAGTTGGAACTGTGAAGTTGATCACTTTTGGTGAAGGCAAGTTCCTATCATCAAGGATATTTAGGAACACACATAAGCACTTTTAATAAAATTTAATTCAAAGTTTGAACTAGATTTTCTGCCACTCCAAATCGAAGGAACAAATGCAATATATATATATAAGTTATGTGTGTTAGAGAAGTTTTTAAAACTTTTTTGACCTAAGGTTTAAAAATCGCAACCGTTGGTCGGTTACAAGATTTAGTGGGTCTTTAAAAAAACATCAATTTTGTTTTTAAAATTTGTAAAATTTAATGTGTTACAAAAATCAGCACTTAAAATGAAATTTGGTTTGAACTAAAAGCGGGCGGTGTTTTAAATACAACATAAGTTATTTGTAAAACTTCTTTGATCCATTTATAAAAATTGTAACAGTTGGTAAGTTACAAAATTTAATGGGACTTTTAAGGCCCATCAATTTTGATTTTTATATTTACAAAATTTGTTATGTTTTCTAATATATTAATTATTTGTTTAATTTTTACTGTTACGAGTCTTTAATGAAAAAGTAATTCAAGGGGGCGAAGTTTTTCAAATACAACACAAGTTATTAATGTTAGTGAAGTTTTTAAAATTTCTTAGTTGGTTACAAAATTTAATGGGGGTTTTAAGGCTCATCAATTTTGATTTTTAAATTTACAAAATTTGTTATGTTTTCTAGACAATTTATTTATTTATTTTTTAGTGTTACAAGTCCTTAATGAGAAAGTAATTGTATGGTTAGGTTAGCCCAATAGAAGAGACAACACAATCTTGCTTTCTACCTTGAAATAGTTTTAACGTAAATGGAAACATCTTTGTAATAACAAAAAGTTTCCTGTTTTATAAAATTTAAAAAAAAGAAGAAGAAGAAGACACTTTCGATTAATAAAATAAAAATTTTAAAAATCTGCTTCAAACCATTTTAATAAAAAAACACTATAAAACTGGTTTTTTTTTTTTTTTTTTTTTTTTTTTTTTTTTTTTTTTTTTCTGATGACAACTGTATAAAACAGTTAATTAAATCTGTTTTGACAGTCCAGTTTCCCGTTTCTATATCTATATATTCTGTAAAAAAACGTGAGGTTTTTTTCCCCTAGTTAAAAACTTCAGCTTTTGAAAAACAGATTTTAATATTCGTTAATTGAAAACAGTTTCTGTTTTAAAAGAAAATAATTTGTTGTAAAACAGTATTTTTCCACCACTATTAAAACTTTTTTTTTTTTTAACTGTTCTGAATTTTTTTCTTAAAAAAAAACTTTATCGTATTTGAAAAAAAAAAAAAAACAGTTCTGAAAATATTAAACTGTTGTTGAATAAAAACACTTTTGAAACAAGGGTTCAAAGTTGTAATGAAGTCAAAATAGAGTTGTAATCCCATATAATAATTTTATTTTATTTTATTTTTTGTGGGTAAAGGTTATATTAATGAGTGATTTTTTAAGTTGAATGTTATTTTTGGTATGAATAAAAATTCTCCTCCTCCTGTTTTTCAATGTTGTATCCTATGATGTTAGGCATGAAAGATTTGGAAATGTTAGTTAGGATAAAATGAGAGATTGATGATCTTAATATAGTCCTGAAATCTAAGGGCCTTGATAAAATTTTAGGCCACCGCTTAATATGGTAATTACCGCTTAAAAGAAGCCAAAATTTTAAACGTTGGAAATATTGCTTATAGCTTATCGCATAACACAGTAAGTGATTGGGTTTAAAAAAATAAATTTCTAATGACTACTCTACCCTCATAATCGCATTATCTCTTTTAGGGTTTCTGTCTGCAATTTCTCTAGGGCCTCTTTACAATTTCTTTAGACTCCTCTCTGTGATTTCTCTTTGCGTCTGAAAGTAAGGTGAGTTCTCCCATTTGAAAAACTCTTCTATATATATTTCGTTGGTTGTATTTTATTATTAGTTTTTGTTACTTTTACATGATAGAACAAATTTGTGAAAAATATTTTACCTATAATATTTTAAACATGACAAATAGCCTTTTGGTTATATTTAAATTGATTCATATATATTTAGTTGCTTGTTGTTGGTAATGAAAATGAATTACATGGAACAAATTCCAAAAAAATAAAAAACATAATTCTACTTAATATATTTAAAACTATTACCATTCATATTGATTCACTATATATAGAAAATAATTATTTATATAAGAATTTTATTCAATTTCACGTACTTTCTTTAATATTGTTAATACCATTTTTAAGAATTTTATTCAATTTCATGTACTTTCTTTAATATTGTTAACACCATTTTTATACCCTACATAAATATTATGTAATTATTTATATTTTAAACGGTTACCATTCAGATTCATATTAATTCACGATATATAGAAAATAATTATTTATATAACAAAATTCTATTCAAGAAGTTTTATGGTACCTTATCGTAATGTACAATATTGGTTAGCCGACTTTTGAAATGGTGGTCGTCCTAGAACAAAAGAAGAGCTATTTAACCATGCACATGCCAAGCTAAGGAATGTGATTGAACGAACATTTGGAGTATTAAAGGCCCGTTTTCCAATCTTGAAAAGGATGGCACCTTATACATTTGAAGTGCAAAGGAATATTCTTATTGCTTGTGCAGCTATTCACAATTATCTTCGAAAAACTATTGTCACGAATGAACTTTTTTAATAGTATGAGATTGAGGATTTGCAATTTGAGACTCCACCTAATATTGCTGAAAATTTGACATCCTCTGAAATTCACACCACAAAATGGCAATTCAATCAAGTGTTTATGGTTAATTTGCGTAACCAAATTGCAAATGACTTGTTTAGTTCTCGAGTTTAAAATTTTATATGTTTAGATTAATGTAACATTTTTGAGACATTCACATTTTTAATGAGTACTGCTTGAATAATGTTAATTATTTAAGTTTGAATTTATATTTTTTTATGATATATTTGACATTAATATTCATTGTTAAATTGATATATTTCATTGAGTGAATGTGGTTGTTTTATTAATATTTTTGTATTATAAATATAAAACTGTTATGAGTATCAGATATTAAGGGCAAAAATGTAATATGTATAACTTTCAGACTTCAGCTTTTGTATATAACAAACAATCTTAATGGGTTCAGTGCTTAAAATTAAAACGTTATCAAACAGGTTTTCAAATTAATACATTCAGTGCTCAAAGTTTCAGCGCTTAAAATTCAGTACTTGAAATTTTCAATGCTTAATTTTCAGTTTTATCAAACAGCACCTAAGCCATACAAATCAAACAACCCACGAAACCTCATAAAATAGCTAAAGAAACACAAAAATTCTAGAACTTATACATTGTGATGTGTGTGATTATAATATATTTCCTAGAGGTGGTAATAAATACTTTGTGATTTTTATTGATGGTTATTTTAAGTATTGTTATGTATATTTGACAAAGAATAAGGATAAGGTTTTTGAAAATTTTAAAACATTCAAGAGTGACCTAAAAATATCAGTAGTGCTTGGAGACACATACATGGAATTATAGATGAAGTACCATTTGACGAATGTAAAATTACAAATTTTGTCGTTGTTTTTCTACACTTCGTGCAAAAATAAGAAAAACCTGCAAAAATTAAATTAAAGATGGTATAAAATAAGCAGGGTCGAACCATACAAGATTTAAACTCGTGAATCAAAATTAAAACCAAAATTTAAGGAAAAATAACTTTTAAACAATTTAATAATTTTTACTAATGAATTAAAAATAAAATAAATAAATAAGATGAAATAAATTCTAATCAAATAATAAGAAAAATCTCAAGGAAAGAATCCATCACCACAGCTTACTATAAATAAATTTGTATATTTCTCTTTATGTAAATTTTCCTATTGTAAGTAAATCACTTCACCAGTCCAATTACAACTTGGAAAGATGAAGAAAAATAATAGCGTGAAATAACAATTGCTAGAGTACATATTTGACTTAATCTGATATATCTTCGGTAAATAGAAATAGGCATTCTCCGAATTACCATTAATTGCCGAACACGAAGAATCATCTTTCTAATTTTTTTTTTATCAAAATAAGAATACAGAATAAAAGAGTGAGTAATGTTCTCAAAAGAAAATTTTATAAACGAATTAAACTAAATTTAATTATATTTCAGCGATGGTGGCTTCATCACTCCCTTGAGAAAGGGGTGTTTAAGCTATCATAATAAGAAAACAAAATAAAGAAATAAAAACAATCTTTATAACAAAAATTATAAGAAATAAATTGAAGACAAAAATTATCTAACTTTTAATATTTTATCTCACTAACAATGTACATTTAACCTCCTCTACATATGTCCCTGTTTATAGAGTTTAGAATGGAACAGGAAGGGAAAATTCTAATTACAGAAGTGAAAATAAAATAAAATATAATCTTCCTAAAATCTTGCTGCTTTCCAAGTTCAGAATATAAATCATCTTGAGAGCGTGATCCCAAAAGAATATTAGTAGACTCAAATAACTGATCATCACTCATACCATGTCGAATAAGGTTCTATTCATTATTTTCACAACTCCATTTTGTTATGGTGTGCCTGGTGCAGAAGTTTGGGATATAATCCTATTTATAGGAACACATACATCTGTACGCACCAACTCTACTACCTTTTTTAATTTTATGCCCCTTGGCCTTAAAAGGCTTTTTGGTCATTTTACCCTCTAAGTAGGATTCACAAATTGTAAGTGGTTTAACCACCAAATAGCCCATACTTAAACAGTCTTTGGATCCTATTTAGATTAATATGACCTAACTGCATATGCCAAAAATATATAGAGTTATTTGAATGAATCTTTCCTTTTAATGGTAAGACATTAAACACATCAATTATTTCAGTATCATACAAGGAGTGAGGTGTAGAAGTAATTAAATAAAGACCATCCATCAATGTACTATAATAAATAAACCTTTTATTTTTATTTATTAAAACTTCTAAATAAAAAATATTGAAAACCCAGATTTTGAAAAAGCTGAAATAGAAATCAAGTATCTTCTACTCTCTGGTACATAAAGAGAATCTTTAATAATAAACTCCTATCATTTATTTCAAAATAACCACT